ATGCATGTTGGAAATGAATTTAAAATGCTTTAAAACGACATGTGGCCCAAACACAGCCTGCAGGACATGGGTTTTCAACTTCTATACTCTTAATTAGGGGGCAAGTTGGGGTATGAGAGTATTCCGAGAAGTTGACAGCAGTGTGTAAATGGGATGTGTCTTTTCCCCCACAATTCTTTTCATATCTGCTCACGGTAGCTTCAGTACCTAATGGGTGCTTGGGCCCGAAAATGAACAGTGAACATTGAAACAATGAAAGCGGAAAGAGAGCAGTCTTCCTGCCTGCACACAGCTTTCTGGGAGATTGGAGTTGTGATCCTCACTTGCAGCAGGATCTCAGCTTGCCCATCTACAAAGCGAGGGACTTGTATTAAATCCCTAAGGCCCCTTTCAGCTGGGAATTCTATTAGGATCATCCCTGAGGCATCTTCTCCGCTCCCCCAAACCCCCAGGAATAGGAGATTGACTCCCCTGACCCCAAGGGATCTGTTTCTCCAACTTCTTCTGTCCTTAGCAGCTGAGTTCTCTGCCCCACCAACCCACATTACTAAAAGGGCCAGAAACAGGGCTGAAAGCCTCCGATGTCCTCGTGAATGCAGAGGCAGGCTCACTCCAAGAGTGTTCTGTCCTGATGCCTGGCTCTGACACCTGATAAAGAGAAGCATCTGATCTCCCAGCTGGGCCCCTCTCTTCTGGAGAGGCGAGACCCGAGGACCTGCTGAAGGCTTTATCTCTGCTGTTTCCCCTGGGGAAAGCTAAGGGGTGGAGCTGGGCAGGAGCTTTTGAGCAGAGCCACTTCTTCAGGTCTCTGTCCCTTGAAGGGTGGGTACTTGCAGTCACCTCTGCTGGAGTGGGCGGGGAGGGGCCAAGGAAGGCAGGATGCCTGTGCCCTTGGGAGGTCCCCTGCCTTCCTGTGCCAAGTTACCCCACCCTCTTAAGAGTCTCTGTGCCTAGTCCTATAGATGGAACGGAGGTTTAAGGGAGGAGGGTCAGGCCTTCTTCACTGGTAGTCTCAAGGGAGGGGGCAGGAAAGGAGAGGAGAACAGCTGGGTGAGGTGGGTAGGGGCTACCATCTGCTTGAGGAGAGAGATTTTAAAAGCTGTTTTAGGCTATTTAAGAGAAAGCCAGACCAGGGGCACGGTCCCAGAGAAGAGTAGGGTATTAGGGGAAGAAAAGGAGGTGGTTCTCTAAGGCAGAGGTTCTACTGTGTCGAGAGGAGCTGGCCAAGGCACAGAGGGTTCCTGGGACTTCCATTCCCACTTGCAGGAACTTGGGGGTCACCCAGGGAGAGAAGCTACCTCTGCTGTCAGCTGGGGCTGGTGGCTTTAGGGGAGAGATACCTAAGGCAAGGTACCCTGGGCCCACTGTTGGTTTCTGGTAGGACCTAGACCCAGTTTTGGAATTCCCCAGGGGTTCTCTGGCTTCATCACCTGCTCAGGTGGGCCCAAGCTGGAGACACTCCATTGCCCTCCCTGGCCTGCAGGTGAACGTGCTGGCCCTCAGCATCTGCACACGGGAAGCCTACCAGTCCATGCAGGAGCGGAAGGTGGATGATGGGCACATCATTAACATCAACAGGTGAGACAGGTGGCCGAGGGCTAGAGTGCAGACCACCGCCCGCCCTCCAAGCTGGGCGATCTGCTGCAGCTCATTTGACCTCCTTGGACCTGTTTCTTTGATAAAATGGGGACTTAATACTCAGTTAACACTAGCATGGTTATAGTGAGGGGAGGAGTAGTGTACGTCAAGTACCAGCCCCCACTCGGCTGGAATGGGTCGCTCAGCCCCTTGTCTTCGCAGCTGAAGCCTCGGGGCTCTCCCGGTACTGAGGTTGTCCATTCCTCAGGCCCTGGAATGAATCCCATCTCGTGGTACAAAGGCGACACAGCATCATCGAGGAGCCCCACTCTGAGCGGGGAGACCTGGCCTCCGCCCCCAGAGATCTTCCAATAGAACCGTATCAGTGAATGCGCAGATGAAATGGAGAGATTTTTGACAGTTGCATGACCAAGAGAGTGGATTCTGGGGTCAGTGTGGGGAAGACTTCTAGAAGAGTAGGGTTTCAGGAGGCGCTTGAATAATAGAAGCTAGATTCGTGGGCTGCAAGGATGGCCCCCAGAGGCCCCCTTTAGAAGACCTCCCTGCAGCATCCAGGTGGTGAGGTTGACTGGACATCAGGGGACACTGCTGGTCTCTCGGGAGCGTCACTCTCTTCTTTCTCCTTCTCTCCCTCTACCCAGCATGTCTGGCCACCGAGTGGTACCCCAGTCTGTGACCCACTTCTATAGTGCTACCAAGTATGCCGTCACTGCGCTGACAGAGGGACTGAGGCAAGAGCTTCGGGAGGCCCAGACCCACATCCGAGCCACGGTGAGGGTGTGGCCTGGCCCTGGTGGGAATGGGATAGGCACAGGCCCTCTCCACCCCACCACACATACTGGACAGGGGGCATATTTCAGGGTGTGCTGCTTAGAATCCCTGCGAGCACGCTGGGCACAGAGCTCCTGGGCTCTGCTGCTGCTTGCATGGCCCCACTCAGTGCTTGAGTTTCCCCCTTTCACTGACTTCGAGGTGGGAGGGGACTGGCCTGAATGGAACTCTGTAGGATGAGACTGAAGGAAAGCAAGGGATTGTGGGAAACCAGGTGTACTGTGGCTAGAAACCAGAGCTCTGGACTCTTCCATTAAAGGCCAAATGACCTTGGGCAACTTACTCAACCAGTCCAAGCCTCAGTCTTCTCATTTGTAAAAGATATGATGATAATCTATCAGGTTATGAGGTTTTTTAAGAGACAACATTTTGTAAAACATTTGCCTGGCTCATAGCAAGGGCTCTGTAGATGGTAAATATCATTATGATCATCACCAGTGGCAGCTTTGGAGAGAGGAGGCAGCTGCTGGACATGGGACAGCCATCCCTGTGAAGCTGGGTCCCAGTGGCTTCCATCCTTTCCCTCCAACCTCCCCAAGGCCTGACCTCTGATTAGGGTGGGGGCGGGGCAAAGCTCAGCTCCTGAGCCCTCTCTGTCGGCCCAGTGCATCTCTCCAGGAGTGGTGGAGACACAGTTCGCCTTCAGACTCCATGACAAGGACCCTGAGAAGGCAGCTGCCACCTATGAACACATGAAGGTGGGGCCTGCCTCCGGGCGCAGCCACTCTGAGTGAAGGCAGAAGGACGGGAACCCTGGCCTTCAGACCCCATCCTTCTCTCTGGCCTGTCGCCCTTCCTGGGGGGTTGGGGTGGGATGTGGGTGCTGGAGAGGACCTCAGTGGTGGGAGGGAGCTTGCACCCATTCTGTCCTCATCTCAACTCCCCTTCCCCCGGTGCTCTCAGTGTCTCAAACCCGAAGATGTGGCCGAGGCTGTCCTCTATGTCCTCAGCACGCCCCCACATGTCCAGGTAAGTCTGGCCTTGGCTGTCCACCCCATGGAGAAGCCCAGCCATCCCCAGAGGAGGCGAGCAGGGAAGCCTTAAAGGGCCGGGCAGCGTGTCCTGGCTGCCTCAAGCCTTTGTGCCTTCTGCAGATCGGAGACATCCAGATGAGGCCCACAGAGCAGGTGACCTAGTTTCCTGTGGGGATCTCCTCCTTCCCTCCCAACTCTCGCCCTTGGTTCCAGCCTCTGGATTATAGGTGTTCATTCCTGGATTCCTGGATTCAACTTCCTCTCTCCACCCCAACCAGGGATTTGAAATTTTGTTTGAGGTCTTTTTTATCTTGTCAGATTGTTTCTACCACAAATGTGAAAAGTGGGCTGGGGAGAGGAGGTGGTGTCCCTAACTGTTTTACCTGTTAACTCATTCTTGGTCCCCTTCCTGGCCTCCTTGGCCTTTGTTTGCTGTCCATGGTCTTTTCTCTTTGACCTGGGGAAGGGACTTTGGCCAAAGGGTGGCTTCCCCCTCTCTTCTTGCACTCCACCCGCTGTCACTCAGGGATGAGGCAGCAGAGAGAACCCCTCACCTTTTATCTGAGTGGTTATCGAGGGCTCCCACTTCCTCCTCTCCCTACTCCACTGCCCCCACCATTCCTTCCCTTCCCTGTCCCAGTTCTCCAGCCTGGTTGTGGCTTCTTGGCCCCTGGGGGTGGGGGTGTCATCACTTACTCTGCTGCCGCACAGTACCAGGACCTGCCTCCCAAGTAGATTTCAGTGTGATAATTAAAAAGGAAAAACTGCAACAACCGACCTTGGCTTCATGGGTGTCTTTCTGTTCTTCCCCTTTCTCTGTGATCAGGGGTGGTTGTGTCTCACTTTCTTCCAAGTAAGTGGAAAGTGGGTGAATTTAGAGCCTCACTCCTGGAGTATGGATTACCTTAGGTAGCAGGTATGGTTTTGGGTTGAGTCTTGAAAATGGGTAGGAGTTTGCCAGCCAGGAAAGGAGAGGAGATATGCAAGGCCCAGAGGCCTGAAAGAGCATGCAGTGTTGTGGAAACTCTTCTGTGGGAACAGAACTTGGTGTGGGAGAGAGGTGGGGCTGGGAAGCTTGGATCCCTGGGGGTTTGGGTGCTGACAAGGGAGTTTGGCCATTACCTGTGGGCCAAGGACATCCATTGGCTTGTCAGCAGGTGCCGGACAGGCACAGAGCTGTCACTTAGAGAACCAGCCGCCACAGGATAGGAAGTTATTGCTGGGTCCTGATAACTGGTGTTGAGGATTTGAGAAGGCAGTGGAAGTGCAGAGGAGGGCCTGGATGCAGGAGAAGCTTCTGAGGAAAACCACCAGCTTCCAGTGGGGAGGAAAGCACCACGACTGACCTGGTGGAACACCTCCCCTTCAAATGTTCTTTGCTGGTGCCTGGGTAAATGCCACGCTTCAGCCTCCCGGGACCTCTAAGGGCGCAGAATGGATCCTGTAGCATGGTCAGCTAGGCGCTGATCATTGCCTTCCTCCGGCCGCAGTGTGGTGGAGGTCGCTGCTTAACCCGCCCTGCAGGTGGTGCTGTAGAGACGGCCTGGCAGCCGAGCGTGCGCAGTGCATCACTGGGCAGGGGGCGGGGTCGCACGAACCCGGAAGCGGAGTACCCCACGTGGGGAGACGGGAGGGGGCTGTCTCGGTTGGGCTACTTGGTTTTGGACAATTTTTGAGCTAGGAGACTGGGCTGTTCGTTTCTCTGTCTGAGGAGGCGGGGTAGGTGCAACCATGGAGGCCCCTTAACCTGTGATCGGGCCTGGCCGCAGGCCTGGTCTGGAGTGACAGCTCCTGAGAATGCTGCAGCGGTTATCGACCATGGCGCTGCTGTCGGCGCTTGGGGGCACGACCTGGCGTTGCTCCGGTCACCTCGCACGTCATTTCTCCCAAACGACTTGGCGTGGGGAGAGGCCGGGTGGAGAGGAACTACGGCGCCTGCTGCTGGATGACCTGGCGCCTACCCCGCGGTCCTCCAGCGGTCTGGAACTTCTGTTTGGCCTGTCCCCGTGTCTTCTGGCTCTGCGGGCATCCCGCCGCCGGGTGGCCCGGCTCTTGCTCCAGGCCGGCAGGTCCGGGCTGCAAGGAGAGCGTGCCGAGCTGCTCCGCCTGGCTGAAGCACGGGACATTCCAGTTCTACGGCCCAGACGACAGAAGCTGGACGCCCTGTGCCGCCACCAGGTCCACCAGGGCGTCTGCATGGAGGTGAGCCCACTGCGGCCCCGGCCCTGGATGGAGGCTGGGGAGGCCAGGCCAGGAGATGACCCCCAGCAGCTGTGGCTCGTGCTCGAGGGGCTCCAGGATCCTCGGAACCTTGGGGCGGTGCTGCGCTCTGCTCATTTCCTTGGCGTGGATAAAGTCATCACCAGCCGGAGAAACAGGCACGGACATTCCTTATTTCCCATGTGCTCCCATTTTTAGGCACAACCGAGTTCCTAAGCACCTTGACCCTTTGGTGATCCCTCAGTGAAGCCTCCCTATCGCCAGAATTCTCATTCCTAACCCTTAGGGCCCAGGGTAGGGTAGGGCACTGGGTTTGAGATTACACAGCTTTATACGGGGCATGGGGTAATTTTGCAGCTGCCCACTCACTCCAGTAGTCAGCAAGGCCAGCGCGGGGGCTATGGAGGTGATGGACGTCTTCTTCACTGATGACCTGGACAATTTTTTACAGGTAAGGATCTGGGGTGTGGGGGCGGAGTTCGTAAAGGAGCGGAAATGAGCCAAGCTCATCCTTTCAGGGCACTTAGCCTGCCACTGAGGGAGGACAGGGGAGAAAAGAACATGCTGACATCACTTTGTGTGTCTCTCTAAATCCCTTTGGGAAGGGAGAAGGCACAAGTGGAGCAGAATCTGAAGTTAGAGACTCCTAGCACCATCCGCTTTACTGCACTCCTTCCCCAAGCATACCTTGTTGCCCCTGCTGCGAGTCTACCCCAGTGCCTCGTTACCTACCCAATAGGTCTTCAGTAAGTGCTTAGCTGGGAGGAGCTGCTGGATGGGTGTCCTGGGTTCCTCCAGTAGGGGCACAGCTTGAAAGGCTCATTGAGTAAGGACTAGTTTATGCCTTTCCCTTCTTCCCTCTTATACACACAAAACAATGCCCCCTCCTCAAAAACAACAACAACAACAAATTTGGGGGGCAAATATTAGAAAAACCCCTGGGCTGTGCTTTTCTTGCTGGGCACAAGAGGGCAGTATTGCCCTGCATTTGGCAGCTCCCCTGACTCGCCCAAGTTTCAGTACTGGGATCTCTTTGTCACATATACTTTTTTTTTTTTTTTTGAGGGGGAGGTGGGTGGGTCTCATCTGCTCTCATGGCTTTAAGTAGCATCTATATTTGAATGCCTCAAAAATGTATATTCTAGCCTAGATCTTGCTCCTAAAACACAGATTCATACATCTAGTTACCTTTTCAACAGCTTTCTTTTAAAACAACTAGCAACACTGGCCCTTCCCGGTTTGGTTCAGTGGATTGAGTTCGGCCTGCCTACGGAGAGGCTGCTGCTTGGATTCCCAGTTAGGGTATGTGCCTGAGTTGCAGGCCATGTCCCCAGTTGGGGGCGTGTGAGAGGCAACCAGTCATGTATCTCTCACACACTGATGTTTCTCTGCTTCTCTTTCTCCCTCTCTTCTCCTCTCTCTAAAGTAAATAAATGAAATCTTAAAAAAAAACAAAAACCCAAACCTAGCAACACTGTTGTCAAAAAAGCAAGGTAAATTGTAGTTGATGGGATTTTACAAAGATGCTAAATGTCCTCAACCCAGAGTGATTCTAGTATGAATAAATAAAAGCATCTCAGTTTTTTTAAAGCTCTCTTTTGCTTGGCATTTCAAACTGAACTGAACATTTCCATAGCCAAGCACCTGTTCCTTCTGCAGACCCAGCTCAACCTGTGGCACCTCTGTCGTCTCAGCTGGTCAGGCCAGAAACCTCGAATCTTCCTTGATTCTTCCTGCTCTCACACCCATTTCCATCTGTCAGTGTGTCCTTTCGGTCTTACCATAAGGTTGTTTCCATATTCTCACCATTTCTTTTCTTTTTTTTTTTTCTTTAAGATTTTATTTATTTATTTTTAGACAGAGGGAAAGGGAGGGGGGAGAAAGGGAGAGAAACATCAATGTTGGTTGCTTCTCATGCGCCCCCTACTAGGGACCTGGCCTGCAACCCAGGCATGTGGCCTGACTGGGAATCAAAACTGTAACCGGCTGGTGTGGCTCAATCCACTGAGCCACACCAGCCAGGGCTCTCACCAAATCTTACTGTCTCTACAGCTACCACTCTGGTCCAAGCCACCACCATCTCTTGCCTGTGTTATTGTGGAAACTTCCTAACTGGTCTTGCTTCTGTGATTGGCTCTCAACACAGCAAGCAGAGAGAGACCCTGTTACTTTTCTGCTCAGAACCTTTCAAAGCCTTTGCATTTCTCTCAGAGTATAAGCCAAAGTCCTTCTGGTGCCCTTTGAGGTTCTACCTTAAGTAACCCTTTGCTCCCTCTCCTGTCTCAATGGCCCCCTTCCCACTGGCCACCTCTCTGTCCTGCTGTTTCTCACAACACCAGGTAAGCAGCCACTTCTTAGCCTTTGCACTTACTGATCCCGGCCTAGAATATTCTTCCCCAGCTGTCTACACAGTACTTCCTCGTCTCCTTGTGGACCACACTCAAAGTCACTTCAGCGAGGCCCTCCCAGAGCACCCTTCCACCAGGCTGCGATTTTGGTCTCTTTTGCTCACTGCCTTGTCTTCAGTGCCTAGAACAGAACCCACCTATTCCAGGTGCTTAATAACGTGACTGACTCAAATGGCTCAGTGAGGGAGTGAACACAGGGTCAGGCAAAAGTAGGCTTACAGTTATGTATATGGGAACTAACAATAATAAATAATAACACAAGAATAAACTCTTTTGTAGTCTTACAACTGTAAACCTACTTTTGCCCCACCTGCATATGGGCAACGGTGGGCCTGCCCTGGCCAGGGCTCTGATGAAGGTTTGCTGAGCTGGAGTATGAGTTCTTCTTTTCCCTCTCAGGCCAGAGCGCGGCAGGGCTGGCTTGTGGCTGGCACGGTGGGCTGCCCCGGGCCCGAGATCTCCCCGTCCTCTGGGGTCCCCATCACCAGCTGCCTGGAGTTCCTCTGGGACCGGCCTACTCTGCTAGTGCTGGGTAGGTAGATGTCCCTGCTTTTCTGTGGTCAGACGTGCGCTTCCTGAGCGCCTGCACGTCCAGCCGTGGCGTCCCTAATCCTCTGGCCTGTGTCCTGCAGGGAATGAGGGCTCTGGCCTGTCCCCGGAGGTTCAGGCCTCCTGCCAGCTCCTCCTCACCATCCTGCCTGGCCGGCAGCTGCCTCCCGGGCTGGAGTCCTTGAATGTCTCCGTGGCTGCAGGTGGGTCTACTCTCCCCTTACTTCCCTCCCTCCGATCACACTTGTGTGGCTGTTTCATCCTAAACAAGTTTCTCAATCATTCTGTGTCTCCATTGCGTTCTGTGCCAAACGTGGAAAATGCATCCTTTTGAGGATGAAATGAGGGAGTGCCTGGCACAGGATCCTTCCTCCCCTCAGATCTCTTCCCTGTGTCATTCTGTCTTGGCAGGAATTCTTCTTCACTCCATTTGCAGCCAGAGGAAGGGTATTCCTGAAGAAGGGAAGAGAGGGCAACTTCTCCAAGGCCCCCAGGAGTCCTCAGCTATGGCCGAAGGGCCCAGAGTAGCTCAGGACCCGGGACAGTCCTCAGGACTAGAAAAAGTGAGGCAAGGCGGGGACTGACTTGGACCGACGGAAACGTGTGCGTGCCGGAGGGCAGGAACAGACTGCCGTGCCTTCAGAGGTGCTGGGTCTCCTGCCTGGTGTGCAGCCAGGCTCTGTTTATTAATCTCTGGCTTGCAAAGCAGGGAGTTTTGTGGTGGAGGCCGAAGGAAGTTCAGTTTCCTGTTTTGGGTTTGGACTTGCAGCTGGAGATGGTAGCCCGTTCATTTCTAGGACGTGCTAGTTCAGAGGGTCTGCTTCCACCCAGGTCCTGCCTGGGCAAGGAGGGAAGTTTAAACGTCAGAAGGGAACCAGGCAGCTCTGTCCAGGGGTCCTCTCTATTCCCCTGAGCCAGCGTGAGGATGGAGAGGGAGGCCGGGGCCTCCTGTGGGCCAGACCCTGCCCCAGCTCGGCCTCTGGCATGTGGCTTCATCTCTATGTCCCTCAGGGCCCTTGCTGGCACCTCCTTCTCGGGGCTGTTGTGAGGCTCAAATAAAACACCTGGTGCCCAGATTGGTGTGGCTCAGTGGTTGGAGTGTCGTCCCACAAAGTGAAAGGTCGCTGGTCCAACTCCCCATCAGGGCACATTTCCTGGGTCGCAGGTTGGGTCCCTGGTTGGGGCACTTAAGAGAGGCAACTGATTGATCGATGTATCTCTCACACATCAATGTTTCTCACTCTCTCTTTCTCCCTCCCTTCCCCTCTTTCTAAAAATAAATAAATAAAATCTGAAAAGCAAAACAAAACAAAGCATCACCTGGTATCCAGCAGGCACTCAACCAGCGGGCCATCCTCTTTGATTCCTCCATGAGGTGGCAGCCTCGCTCTTCGGTCCACAGCCTCTTCAGAACGCTCCTGCAGCCAGCTGGCCACATTCCAGGCTGTGGCCCCCGAGAGACAAGGGAAAGATTAGCAAACACCCCCCACCCCACTGGCCCTCCAGTCCCCCTGGTTGGTGAGTCATCAGTCAGTCCACCTACTTGCAAGGAACCAGTGAAACCTGGCTTTTGACCCCTGGAGGGGCGAGGGCTGGGTTGCTGGTTGTTGTATCATCCAGACCCACGTGGTGCTGCCCAGGGTCCCACAGTGGAGTGGAGGCCCCCAGTGCAGTAGTCCAGAGCAGGCTGGGCTGCACGTGGGAACCCCCCAGAAGGCTTTGGGAAACAGCCCACACTGGGACCCACCCCGAGTGTGACATGATTGGTCGGGGTGCAGCCCGCACATCAGGATTTGGAACTCCTGCCAACCCCCATGGTTCCCACGTGCAGCCCAGGCTGAGAACCACTGGAGCAGGGTTTGTCGGTCTCAGCGGCATCGACACCCTGGGCCAGGTAATTCTCTGTGGTGGGGGCCGTCCTGTGCATCGTAGGATGTTTATCAGTATCCCTGGCCTCTACCCCTGGATGCTGGTCGCACCCCCTTCCCCTAGCTGTGACAACCAAAAATCTCTCCAGACATTGCCAGATGTCCCCGGGGGAGACAAAGTCACCCCTAATTGAACACCACTGCTCTGGAGTGTGGGTCTGGAGGACAGCAACTCCAAGTTCAAATCCCGATTGCTGTGCGGCCTTGGGCAAGATCCTTACGTGCCTGAGCCTCAGGCCCCTCCTCGGTAAAGGGGGACAACCCTATCTTTCGGGGGTGCGGGGAGGACACAGGACGCTGGGAACCCAGTGCCGCATGTATAGTAGGTGCTCAGTGAGTAGTACCACTCTTCCTCTGTAGACTGGACTTGGAATTCTAATGCAGATGCCAATTTAGAAGGACATTTCAATTCGCTTAAAAAGGGCCTAAGATTGCTTTAAAGTCAAAGTTTATCCTCCCAAGAGAGCAAGAAACCCCTTTGTTGACTCTAGGTCACCACCTCATTGGCCCCCCTTGCACTGCCTGTCCCCCCACCTGGTGCACAGGGTCTGACCCCCGCTGGCCCGTGTCAACCTTGGGCATACCACCCCACTTTCCCCATCCCTGTCGCATCCTTGGCCAAGAGCCCACTGTGGTTTTGAACCTTGGCTGCACCCTAGAGTCAGGGTCAGGGAGTGGGGATAGCTTTTAATATCCCAGATGCCTGGAGGCCCCGGGCCGGCGAAATCAGAATCTCCGAGGCAGGAGCCAGGTACGGGCATTTCTCACAGCTCCCCGTCGATGCCGGTGTGCGGCCTCGTTTGAGAATCACTGGCCTCCCAGCCACCCACTCGTGTCCAAGAAACCCTCCAGATCACACCCATGCTTTCAAGCGCATGTCTGAAAGCACGTGTCGTTCACCTGTCCCTTTAGAAGGTGCTGGCTCCAGCCCTGGCTCCGTGGGCTTCCTACCAGAGGACTTCTCAGTCCCCGCCCCTGTAAAACAGGGACTGTGCCGCGGCGCCTGCTCCGGCTGCCCCCTCCCCAGCAGAGAAGTTGGAAAGTGAGGTGACAGCGTGTCAGTGAACATGTCCTGTAAACCGAAGAACGGTGCACCCGGGACGGGCGCACAGCGGCAGACCTATTCTGTGTCAGTGGGACTGGGCGCCGCAGCCCAGTATTTGGTCACGCATTCTGGGTGTGTCTGTGAGGGCGATTTCGGGCGAGGTGAACATTTAAACTGGTAGACCGAGTAAAGCAGGTTGCCCTCTCTGACGTGCATGGGCCTCATTCAGTCAGTTCAAGGCCTGTGTAGGACGACAGCCTGACCCTCCCGCGAGCACGAGAGAATTCTCCCAGTCTTTTGGAATGGAAACCTGGGCTTTTGTGGGGCTTGAGCCTGCTGGCCTTCCGAAGGGAATGACATTACCGGCCGCCCGCATGCATAGGCAGCCTGCAGCACTTGGGGTGCCAGCCTCCATGGTCACATGGGCCAGTTCTCCGTAACAGATACATAAGGAAGTAGGTAAGTATGTACGTATGTATATGTGTGTGTGTCTCTCTCCTATTGGTTCTGTTTCTCTGGAGAACCCAGACGAACAGACTTGGTGAAAATAAACTCCGGTGTCCTGGAGCCCCTCCCACACAGGGGCACAGAATCGAGCTCAGCTCTCTGGGATCAAACCCAGCATGGAAACTAGCGATCGGGTTGAGGACCTCGGGGTCCAGAGCCCCCTCTGCTGCCCAGGGACTCCTCTGCGGTGTCTGGAACCCTGTCTGACCTGCTGCGGGCGTGCTATTCATCAGCCTTATGGGTCCCTGTGGTCTGGGCCATCTGGAGGGGCCACTCTCCTGGGCTAAGAGCCAGGCACAGGCGGCTCCTCCCTGCTTCACCCGCTGGGCAGCCACTGGCCTCCGGGAAGACAGGTCCACCCGAACCACAGGGAACTGGGCTGTGATTACCTGCTGTGCACACACTGGCCTGTGGCTGCAGACCAGGCATTCCCAAGACAAACAGCACCTGATGCCCAGGACGAGGTCTGACTCTCCTTGGAGTGGCCTCTGGTGCCTGACACACAGACACCGTTCGCCGCGTGTGGTCAAGTGCACAGGAGCTCCGGTGGCTGTGACTGAGGGTGTGAGGGTGCTGGGTGGGGCTCCTTGCCCTGTGGGGCAGGGTGGGGTGGAGCCAAGGGGCAGGAACAATGGTGGGGAAGAGCATGGCCCGGGCTGCCAGGCAGTTTGCTTTGAGTTGCAGCTCTGTGCCTCCTGATGGTGTCAGTGGGAGCATGTCCCTTAACTTTCCCAAGTCTTGTTTTCCTCATCTATGAAATGTGGATAACTGCACTGGCCAGTGTAGACAGCACAACCCATAGATGAAGGGTCTAGGGTTCGATTCCCGGTCAGGGCCTATACCTAGGTTTCGGGCATCATCCCCGGTCTGGGTGCATACTGGAGGCAACCAGTCAGTGCTTCTGTTTCAAATGGATGTTTCTTCTTTCCTCTCTCTGAAAAGCAATGGGGAAAAAATGTCCTCAGGCGAGGAGATCAATAAAGTAATAGATAAATAAATAAATAAATAAAATGGGGGTGACCATAGTGTCCACTTCCCAGGACCGTGGTGCAGAGTAAGTGAGACCTCGTACGTGAAGCCCTCAGCTGGTGCTGGAGGGCAGCAGCTGTTCGTTCCCACAGCACCCAGGGGCAGACCTAGGGGTCAGGGCACTGGGCTCTGCTCTCCTGCCAACCTGGCTTCAACTCCCCCCGCCGCCAGGGCCCCTTTCAGCGGCAACATGCAATGATTCGCCCGTGAGAGCCACTGGAGCTAGCTGGGGAGGGAAGGGGGTGGAAATGACCTGTGCAGTGTCCTCCTTTGTGGGGCCTCCACAGCCAGGAGGGAAAGGGTCTCAGAAGGGTCGGTGGCTGCCTTGGTATTTCCAGAGCAGCCAGATTGTGGCCAGTGCCCCTGCTTCCCCCTAGGGCTGGAATCTTTTGGGGGAACAGGCCGCATTGCCAGCTTCCAGCCCCAGGCAGGGGTCCTAAACCAGACACTCCCTCCCCCTCGTGCACACACTCCTGAAGGCCCAGGCACCAGGGGGCCCTCCCAGTTTGTAAATGTAATCAACCCTGAGGTCTCGGTCTTCCACAGGTGCAATTAGCATGCCCATCTGCTAATCCCTGATTAATGATGTTTACAAACACAGGGCTGCGCTCAGAGCTGGAGGTTCCTCCCCGGAGCCCCTGCCCCACTCACTGCACACGTGTGGAAAGGACACACAGGGAGACTGTGCATCTGGTGCCAGTGCTAGGACTCTGCTGCTCCTTCTTCCCACCGTGGGCTGGGCGTGCTCCCTGCACTCGCCATGCCAGGGGCAGCCTGGGCCTCTCTCTCTCTCTCTCTCTCTCACACACACACACACACACACACACACACACATGCACGCATGCGTGTCCCCGGGTGAGGACATTTCCACCCCACCCACCTCCCTGCTGAGGACTTTGGCGGGCCCCCGTCACAGGCACAGAAGCAAAAGCATGAAGAACACAGACTTCTGAGTTGGACAATCTGAGTCCAAACATTGGCTCTACCTCAGGCTGGTCACCTAGACTGACTGAGCCTCAGTTTCTTCATCTGTAAAATGGAGATAAAAGGACTTAGCACAGTGCCTGGGACACAGTAGGCACTCCATAAACCTGAGTTTTTTATTGCTATGAAAATGATAATTATGGTGATGAGGAAGAAAGAAGGCATAGGAGCCACAAAGATGCCCAGGGCTCTCCCCTCCTCCCGCACTCCCCTCTCTGGGGAGGAGGGCAGGTCCCAGCTCATTACTGGCAGGGCCGGGGGTAGAGGTGTCAGATTGGAATCACTCCCGGGTCTGTTCGCAGCTTCCCTGTTTCATTAACACCTCCCTGGTGGTCTTCAGCTCCTCCCACTGGGGGGAGGTGCTCCAGAAAGTTCTAACCACCACCTTACCAGCCAGAGCTCAATGGTCCTCCTGGGTTTGTGCTCAGAATGCCCACAGAGGGTTTTATGTGGGGAGACATGGCCACTGGCCAGGAGAATGTCACTGTCCCCTCCCCCAGGGTCCTGGAGGCCCGGTCAGGGGGCATCACACCTGGGGCTACTCCTGGCTTCCCCTCCCCCATCAACCTCTCACCCAGAGG